GAAATAGCTTCTTTGTTCCATTGGATTGTGATCCCTCTTATTTTTCAACAACTCCCCCAACTCCACTCCAGGTCTCACTGGGACTAGCTTGGCTGAGATGGATCTACCTATAGGCAGAGACTTACACTGAACAGTTTTTCAACTCATTCCGTCCCCCCACTCCAACTGTTCTCACCTACAATTTCTTTGGAAGTTGAAGCCAGGTAGTGTTTTGGTATTAACGCACTACCCTCAGGACTAAACAAAACTTCCACATCCTCCCTCTTTAATATACCCTCTACACTGATTTTTTTGCAATTAAGGATGAATCAAGTGACAGAATTAAACAAGTCTGGGCAGCCATGCTCATTTATTGATATGGCTTCTACCATCTCTTTAGTCAATTCTTACAACAGATTCTCTTCTGCTACCTGGTACTAAGAACAGGTGTAATGGAGCATTAGATACTTCTATTTGTCCTGGAATTTAATTGAGGTTAGGTAATTCTATCAATAGTTGCTCTTGAGTAGAAGAACGATGGATAGGCCTAGGGGCTCTGCTTTGTAAATATAAGCAAGTCACTCAGTCATTCAGCGCTTCTCTTTGCTCCCATGATTAAGAGTAGTAATAGCTGGAAGACTGCTGAGATTCTTTCCAACTTAAAAAAAAAAAACACTGAAGAATTTTGAAAAAGATGGAAGTGTTAGGAAATGCACACTTCATGGAATTGACTCGTTGCTAACAGTGTCATTTCTACTGAAATAAGGAAGTTGGTTTTTACGGTTGAAGTCAGGAAATAGTTTACATCCTCTGTAAGGTTTCGAGTCACTGAAAGATTATGGTCACTGATGTGACCTTTGGTAGCACTTAAGTGTTGGAGGAACCAATCCATTAATTCACTTAAGGAGTATATATTAGACCCCTACTATGCTGTTTGAGTATAGTAATATTTGTCTCTATTTTGCAGGTGAGAAAAATAAAGGCACAAGATGACCAAAGGGACTATTATTTGAGACAACTCCACAATTTTGACCAAGGAGGAAGGGAAAGGGCAGCAGGGCACAAAGAACTGTGTCCGTCACAATAAAAAATTCCCAGTTCTCAGTTCCATGATTTGAATCATTAATGTGTGCTTCTCTGGCTAAAAATTCAACTGCCTGTCAGTTATTTAACTTCTTAAGTAAGTAATGAATAATCATTACTTACTGCCTTGTTAATCTGTAGTGTTATTGATCAGAATCAAGAGCTTAAGGTAATGTTATTTTTTGTAATACTTGATTTGTTGTCCTGATTGTTTGAGAATACTACTTTAATTTCTTTAAATTCCCCTTTAATTTCCCTCCTATTTTTAGCAGATAGTTCAGTTGCAATATCAAACTTCAATTCATGATGGGTATTTGAACTGTGGAGACGGACAGTCCAGAGAAGAAAATGTGTCCTGCTGATGTGCATCCCAAGTTAGAGGCCTCTTTTTCTGCCTTTTTTCATAGGGAGTCCTAGGTATGCTTCAGTGAGGAGCCCCCTGAAATCCTGGTTCATGTTTGCAGTTCAGCGGATCTCAATGTGCATTAAAACTCCCCAGCCTCTCTAATCTCTTAGGGTCCCTAATTGTTCAATGTTCCTGATTTGGAAGGCAGATGACCACATTCTCAGGTCTCATTTTATTGCATTCACCTCAGACTTTGATTCCCTAATTAGGTAAGTGTGTGTTTAGCCAAAACATTCTGGTAGTATTGGCAAAGCAAGGCAATTGGAAACTTGTTTAGAGACTAGCCTCCGGGTTCTATACTAGTTAAAGCTTTATATCCTTCACAATATCTGGTACTGTCCATCTTCTATTTTTCACCATTGTAATAGGTATGTAGTGGTACTATGGTTTTAATTTGCATTTCTCTAATGGTTAATGATGTTGAGCATCTTTTCAAGTTCTTATTTTTCATATATATATCTTCTGTGGTAAAGTGTCTTGAATCTATATCTATATCTATATCTATGGTCAAGTACTTTATCAGATATGTGATTTGCAAATATCTTCTATTAGGCTATAGCTTATCTTTCCATTCTCTTAACAGAATTTTTCAAAGAACAGGTGTTTTAAAATTTGATAAAATTCAAATTATCAATTCTTTATTTTGTAGACTTTGTTTTTGATGTTCTACATAAGAAGACTTTGCTTAACCCAAGGTCACAAAAGTTTTCTATATTCTAGAGGTTTAAAAGTTGTATAATTTTAGGTTTTAAGTTTAGGTTCATAATCCATTTTGACTTATTTTTTGTATACTGTGTAAAGTATGTATCAAATTTTATATATTTTTTGATATTTAATTGTTCTCATAACTATTTATTGAAAAGATTATCCTCTCTCCACTGATTTCCTTTGTACCTTCATCAAAAATCAGTTGTCATATATATGTGGTCTATTTGTAAACCCTCTATTCTGATTCTATTTGCCTATTGTAATGCCAATATGATACTGTTTTCATTACTGTAACTTTATAATAAGTCTTGAAATCAGATAGTGTTATTTATCCAACTTAGTATTTTTCTTTTTTCAAAATTGTCTTTGCTATTCTAAATCATTCGCATTTCCATTTGAATTTATGGTCAAATTATCACTGCTACGAGAGGGCCTGCTCAGGGAGGCCCATCTGCTTCCTCTGTGCTCCTCCTCCCTCTACCACACCTGGACTCTCTCAAGGCAATAAGCTGGGACAAGGGGAGGGCACAATTTATCTATTTCTCATATCTCAAGTATCACTGTCCTTCATTGCCTGATGTCCAGTGCCCTTAAAATCATCATTTGACATAGTTTGTCTTTTGTTTATTTGTTTGTTTTTTTAGGCAGAAGGGTAAATCCAGTTCTTGTTCTCCTTCTTAGCTGGAAGCAGACTTGTGGTTACATTTTTCAAGTATCCTTATTTTTAGATTATCATACTGAGCCATGTACAGAAATGACATCATGTCTGAAATTTGCTTCGACATACTCTTGATGCCAGAAAATATGTGGGGTGTAGATGAAATACCATTGGCCGTGAGTTGATAACTGTTCATACTGGATGATGGGTACAATAGAGCTAATTCTACTTATTAAAAAAAAAAAAAAAAGC